AGAAGCCTCATCAACAAACTGCCACATGTCCAGTATGTAGTGTGTCCTTTCTTCACCTTTCTTCACCTTTCTTACAGCTTCCGTTCTGTTCAGGAGACTCAGGAGGCCTTTAGGTTTTCAAAGAAAACTGCAGGAATGTTTCCGCACCTCTTGGAAGTTGGTCACATTTTCTGCCTCTCACAATCCAAGTAATCCCAAACACGTTCAGTGGTGTTGAGGTCTGGACTCTGGGGTGGTCAGTCCATCGTTCAGCTTCTTTGATGTCTCCGTCTTCTTTTCTCAGTGAGGTTCTTCTTGAACAGCTACACATCCTTTCAGACCCACAGCGCTGAGTCGTCTTCTCACAGCGGAAGGATGGACAGAAACACCTGTGGATGTTTTCAGATCTGAAGCTGCTTGATTTTCTCCTCTCTCTCGAAGATGAAAGCTTTAAGCGCTGTTTATCTGATGGGGGCATTTTTGGGGTCTACCAGGTCTTTCTCGGTTGTTAGGAGTCTCATTTTCCCTGTATATTTAATCATTTTTTGAACTCTGGTTTTAGAAGCCCTTGTTTTTTCCTCAGAAATCTCCTGAAAATGAATAACTTGAACTCAATGGCTGTTTTGACTGTAAATTAAGTAAACGTATGGTGGCCTCTGACTTTTGTACAGTACTGTAAATGGAGCCTCAGACATGAGCCTTAAGGTCCCCTGATGTAAAATAAACTCAGACACCCTCAAACAGTATAAAGTAGGTCAGTTTGGCACAGTCTGGCTTAGAGGAGGATCTCACTTGTGTATGTTTGTAGTCACTAATTGGTCACAGTTTTAGTCTATATGGAACAGAAGACGGAAACTGTAGACAGTAAACATGCCCTGTGTGTTAAACCTCCACCTAAGCTAATTGCAAACTAATTGAGTGTTGCCTGTATTCAAATTCAACTAAGCTAACACTATCAAAAAATCATAATGTAGGCTAGAGGAAAAAATGCATGGAAAAAGATGCACCGAGCATTGTTTTATAATCGCATCTTGACACCCTGATTCAAAAACGAATTAAATTGTGAGATGCCCAGAGATTCCCACCTCTAAATGCAATATTCACCAACGTGGAAATTAACATGAGATTATTAGAACCTGGGCTTATTTAAACAGTTCATCTCAAAATGTAAAAGCTGTCAGAATCTTGACTGATGAGAAAGAGCGCAGTCTGAAAAAAAAAGAGAAACTTAAAGGGGAACTCCACCAATTTTCCAAAAATTCTACATCATTGAATGGATGAGATGAAAGCGAAGTCATTCAGAGTGGTTCAGTGTGAAACGCTCTGGTTTAGAGAAACTTACCAAGTCAGATTTGTTCACAGTGGTGGTGACAGGAACCAGACATCCACCTCTAAAAGCTCCCTCACTGAAAGTTATTACATGAAATGGTTAGATATATGCTGCCTGATCTCTGACACATTGTTTTATGATAGTTTTGGCTTAAAATGTATTTTAATGTACTTACTTTAATCCATTCATAGCGGATAGGTAAATGCAGTGCGTCGTAAGGTAAAATAGTCCCCAGATTTACCATATTTAACCATCATCAACATTTACATATAAAAACTCAGAAGACACGTGTAGGTACACTAATGGTTTTGGATAGTAAATAAAATGGATATATTTGTGTTGTAGACTTTGTGTCCCCTGGTTCCCGAGTCGGTAAGTTTCTCTGCAGTGAAGCTTTTCACATCAAAACACTCAGAATGGCTTTGTTTACATCTCGAGGGCTGAATTTTGCAAACATTTTGGGTGGACTTCCCCTTTAAAACAGATTATAATTGCAAAGATGCTTGCTGCCTCATTTTCTGTTCGAATGAAAAAGGATGGATTGCCCCACTGAAGTCTGTTTAAACCAAGGTTAAGCTAATAAACCTGTTACTCATCAAATTAAACAGTGATTAAAGCTGAATCAGATGATTGGATTGTAATCAGATTGCACCAGCTTAAACTGGTGGCATTGAAAGAATGTGATTTTACATGTATCTGCAAGCAAAAGCGGGATGCCAGATTGTCACATCAGAATTTTCAGCTGGTAATTATAACTGATATAATTATCATATTAGGCTGGTAGTAATTAAATATTTGCAAATAATATAATAGTCAAATAATAATGTGCACTCTTACTTTGGACACTAAAAGGATTCCCTTTTAGTTAATTAAATTTTTTTTATTGCTTTGGGTGTTAATTCTAATTCTACAGGACCCATGATAGACGCTAGAGCACTCCAAGGCTTCAGTTTGTACCTAGATCATCTGTTGTATATCAAAAAGACCACCATGGTGCCCTCTGGTGTTGAGGAGGAGATTAAAGAGGCCTATGTGGCGCCCCCTTCCGCTGAAGGCCGGAGAAGTAAACAGGAAGCTGTGTGATGGGCTGCGCGGCCCCCTGCAATTGTTTTTTGAGCAGGTGTTCTTTTCTCAAAGGACAGAAAAATAGAAGAAGCGGAAAAGAACCAAAGATGGGTTGGTGGAAGCTGTAAACAGATGGTGTTGGTCTCTGTAGAGAAGCTGGAGGACATGGTCTGTTAAACTTTCCAGTGTCTCTCAGAGCCCCCTGTGCAAGAGCTTTCACTCATATAGATACAGGTGAGAATTCATTCACAACCCACTTTTCCCCCCATTTTTCTGTATATGAAATTGGAAAAGTTTCCACTGTGCTGTCAAAAACGTGATGATGAACGTATGAATCTGCGCTGCGCTCAAAACCATTTGCACTTTGCATATTATTTAATTATATTTGTCTCCTACCACTAAAAAAACGAACTGTTTGTGTTTATAATGCTTTTACCAAGTGCTGCGGTCTGCAGACTGGACTTGGACCAGAAGTATAAAGGCATAATGAATATATGCATTTCTTTATTTACTTATTTATCAAAAAGTATTAGATTTCAGTGAAGAAATATATATCTCATTGTGAAATTTCTGTGTCATTACACTCCTAATATACATGGAAACACCACACTAAATACTCAAACTGGCCATTTTATCAGAAACAAACCATATAGGTATGCTCTATAGGTTTATAATCACTGAGGATAGCCTGTCTGTTTATTCATCAGCCATGCCTTATGCTAGGGGTCCCACTTCCAGCCATATGCCGCTACATATGTTCAATTCTGCCTCACTGACTCAACTTTTTAGGACACAGACTCAAATCTGAGGCTTATTTTTAGTGTGTTGAGCAGTTTGCTATGCATCTTGTTCTAATGTACCTCCCTTGGGAGCTTCAGAAGCTAACAGTAGCTTAGCCAGCGGACTAAAATAGCTCTATACACCACAGCAAAGGTGTGATATCCTATGTTTAGTGTGAAGTCGAGAGGCTGATGCTGGAGTGACATAAAGGAAGAATCTAACCTGCTTTGTGGTGTGCTAAGCTAAGCTAAGTTGTTAGTCTGCTAAGCTGCTGCTAACTTAATCAGCTGTGAAAACTTTGCTTCCCTTGGCACTGTTTATAATTTAGCGATCCTTTAACTTATGGATAGCCTTAAATTGGTGTATGAGCTCATTTGTTTCTATTGTTTTCCGCCTCATCTGCTCAGTCTGTTTAAACATAGAGGGCGGTATTCCCCATTGGCCGGAGGTCAAAGGTACAATCTGTGTAATTTTGGACATTGATGGATCTTTGCACTCGTAATGAGTGTTGAGCTTTAGGGAGGCTCCTGTGCCAATTTTAGCAGCTTCCTGGGCCTAACAATAAAATATAAAACTGTTTAAAGGGGAACTCCACCGATTTTTTTTTCCAAAATTCTACATGATCAAATGGTTAGGATGTACACAAAGTCATGTAGAGTGATTTGTTCTAGAGAAACTGTTCATAGTGGTGGTGATGGGAACCAGACATCCACCTCTAAAAGCTCCCTCACAGAAAGTTACTTCATGAAATGGTTATGAATTCACTGCCTGATGTCTGATGCATTGTTTTCTGATAGTTTTGAGAGGAAGTTTTGGCTTGAAATGTATTTTAATCCATTCATGGTATTAGGGGTACATGCAGGGCGCTGTGAGACAAAATAGTCCCAAAAAAATGTATTATTTACATATTTATGACAGTTTTACCATCAACATTCTATATAAAAACTCAGACACAAGTAGGTTAATTGGTGGTTTGGATAGTAAACAAAATGGCTATATTTGTATTGTAGTCATGGCGACCCCTGGTTCCTATCACCACCACTGTAAAGAGATCTAAGTCTGCAAGTTTCTCTACAGTAAACCACTTCACATCAAACCGCTCCGAATCACTGTTTGAATCTCAAGGACTGAATTATTCAGAATTTTAAAAATATTGGTGGAATTCTCCTTTAATGATTTATAACTTTATCCTTACTCAGGAAAAAAAATATTTTTATTATATTTTATCATGACTTTAGGGATAATTTAGGACCTTATTTCACAGAGCAGTGTTAGCAACCTTTAGCCAGTGGAAAAGCATCTGTGATGCCAGGCGGACCCGCTCAGCAAGGCGGACCACCACGGTCACTACACGATCTTGTTAGCCATTACGATGGTTACAGTTAACAGTTTATCTGATTAGTTCCATGTCTGGCTAAACGGGTGGTTACATGTAAGGTATACCATGTAATCATTTATCATGTTACTTTGCAAGGAACTGGGTAATTCTAATGCAGATGCAGTGGTGCAGAGTCATAGGACTCGCCCTTGTGTGACTTCACAGTCGCTGCCCCCCCAAGTTAGTGTCTAGTTTGCCATTTCAGTGGGCTATGACTTTGAGTTGAAGTAATGCTTTAGCTCTTTTCCAATTCTTACATCTGCACTGTGCCCTGCTGGTGAAAATGTGTAAAATCACCACCAGAAGAGACGTCAAAGTATCTTTTGCACCTGTATCTTTTCACAGTTGTAGTCAATACTATCATTACGCCACACTGTCACATGAGGTTTTGTAGGTTGTGTGGTTTCAGTTATCTGTAGATCAGATGTACTAATGGAAATGCTGTCTGACACTGTGGTTTGTCCCCAGAGGGATGGTTTTCCGTCACTCCTGAGAAGATAGCCGAGCACATCGCTCAGAGAGTGCCAGAAGTGTATGACATGCAGCTCATCGTTGATGCCTTCTGTGGAGTGGGTGGAAACGCCATTCAGTTCGCCCTCACTGGGAAAAGAGGTACACATACATTCCACACGCGCATCACTGGGCATCATGTGGTAAATTCAGCATTGTTCAGTCTCTAAATGAAGGATTGTTGCAGTGTTTGCTAAAATACTACTGTTCAAAAGTTTGGAATCATTGGGCCTCAGAAGAAATTTGTTTTTAAAACTCACTTATGCAGTTTTCACGATGATTCTGACCTTCACCAGTGTTTTCTTATTGGGGATTTGTTCTTAGGTAAGAACAGAATCTACACACACTCAAGAGCACAAAGGTGCGAACAATTCTGTGGTTTAAGGACACGTCATGAATCTGACGTAGGAAGATATTAATGAATGAGGCTTTTTGTTGTAGATGAATATGATGTAAGTGCTCTACCGCTTCATTATTTTTACAAAAAATCTTTAAGAAAGCTGTTAAAAATTAGGAAATAATGAACAAAGTTTTCCCTACTCAATGAGAAATGAAGTTACAATAAAGTTAATATCTGGAATTCCTCTTAATGAAAACCGATGATCAAATCTCAAGTCAGATATCTTGACAATAAATGCCTATAAATAGATCATTATGGTAAATTATTCATGTTTTAATAGCTTCTTTCTGCTCCCAAAAAATATATTATAAGTACTGAATAATAAATCTAAAAAATACTTTCTAGTGTCTAGTTTATCATATTTAAATGTACAAAAGCTATCATTGATTAAAATAATAACAATTACAGTGAGGGGAAAACGGGTATTCACAGACTTTTGTTTTAGTCTTTTATGTATGGCCCTTATTTTTCGAAGTTTGATAAATGAGTGCAAATTTGATCGCCTTAAATGACATATGAACTAAACATTTGTACGACGAGGAAACAAGTGCAAATGATAAATCCGCTTTTGTGAGTGAAAAAAGTGCCTACCGGTACCTCATTTACATATAATATACATAAAACACACCCTAATTCATCCAAATATTTTGGTAGGGAGCAAATAAAATGACAGCGTTCAGCAGCTGGTGATACAGTGATGAAGTCTATGGTCGAGTGGTGAATGCACAGCTTCCCCTACTGACCAGAATTTATAGTGGTAAAATTCTGATAACTGGAAAGAATAAAATGTGAAATAAACGAAACATTGTTTAAAACAGACGAAAGATGTCACTGGATGTGTTTACATGCAAAGATTTTTGCCATTCCGATTGAATGCATTCCAATTATAGATAAAGACTGAGGCGTTATAAGCTCACTCAACAAACTGATGGAAACCCTCTGTTTACATGCACCTACAAGTAATCTGATCCTAAATTATGCGCATATGTAGAGAGCCACTTAATGTAGACGTTACCATGACAGCGAGCATCACGTGAGTCCAGTCAGAGTGAGATGAGCAGCAGTGAGCAGTGCTTGTGTTTTTAATTGCTTTAAAATGATGCCAGACTCAGGAAAACGTACTTCACGTGTCCTTATTAAAGAAGGCCGAGAGGAAGACGTTGTGTTCTGAGACACATAAGCTGGACGTCCGTCCCACCGCCGTCTTTTAAAGACCAGAGCATAAACTTCGTCTCCTCTGCAGACCAGTTTCTGCTCCGCCATGTTGAACGGTATAAACTTTCGCTATGACGTGACGAACACGATCAGAACGGACTTAAACTTTCCGATAGGGAATGTAATCAGATACAGGCGTTTACACGGATATTATTCTACTGTTTAACGGATTATTTACAGGATTACCCACCTCGATCAATCGCGTAGAAATTGTATTCCGAATGGCCTCAATCTCTTCTGATTGAGGTGTTCACATGAACACCTTCTATTCCGATTGAGCTTTTAGTGGGATTATTAATGGATTATTAGGCTGCATGTAAACGTGGCTAATGTGTAGTGTGATTATAATAAAACATTCAGACGCTCTATTATTGCATGGGATGCTGTCTTCTGTGCTTTTTTTGTATTTGTCAGTAATATAAAATAAAGTAATATAAAATAAAAACAGTGTCTTTAAATGGAAAGTGAGAGAGTTGCAGCATGAATTTATATCAGTGTTCATGTAAAATGAGGAAATTCACTTTTGTACTGGAGTGCACAAGTTATTAGGACTACTGTTCAGATGATATTGATAAAAGGTTTGGTTAGTTAACCACAAATCAAGCATTTTTTTTCTGATTTTTAAACTATTACACTCTTACCACGCGTGAGTTTGACCTTACAGATATCCCAAAGATGAAATTGATGAATAACAAAACTCATGTGCTCATTTGCCTCTATACCAGGTTGATGGGGTGTGACTCGCACAGATAATTTGCATATGTACCGTGCTCGCACCTCAGATGCATTTTTCCAAGTGCTGCAGTTTTAATGGCTAGCAGTAAAATAGGAACCAATTATTTTATGGTAGTTATTGAAAAGCCTGCAGATTAAATGATTAACAGCCGTAGCAGAGATATGTATATTTAAGAGAAAAGGAAGCATCACTCCTCAAAATATCGAACGTAGGCGAAGTGACAACCGCAAAGGAAACCCTGACAATTTCTCTACCTTTATGTCACTCAGTGATAGCCATTGATATCGACCCAGTGCGACTGGAGCTGGCGCAGCACAACGCCGAGGTGTACGGGGTGGCCCAGCGCATCGACTTCATCCAGGGTGATTTCCTTCAGCTGGCCCCACGTCTGCGGGCTGACGTGGTTTTCCTCAGCCCCCCGTGGGGAGGCCCAGAGTACCTCAGCGCTGAAGTCTTCGACATCAAAACCATGATGAGCCCTGATGGATATCCTTTAAACACTGCTTGCCCTTTAGGGCTGCAATGATTAGTTGGTAAAGTCGATTAGTCATGAATAAAATCAGTGATGGAAAGAGAAGATGCGTCACTTGCTTAACCCTTAAAGTGGTATTTAAATGGAGTTACAGTTTATGATTTTCATTTGATTTACATTCTGTACAGACAGGTTCAAGTCTGTACTTCCAACTTTTTTTCTGTTAGTTTTCATGCCAAGAGATGCCAAAATGGTGGTGAAATATAAAAGTGGTTCCTTCTTTCAGCAAAACAAGACAATAACTTCATCAAACTTGAATCTTTATAAAATATCTGCTCTTCTGTTTACAAATACAAATGCAGTATGGATTAAACGCTAGTCAGAGAATCATCATTCAGCCTAGTCCACCATAAAGCATGTCCACATAAATTCACTTTAAACCATGCTTTACCTTTGGCATACGGTTGTAGGCAAAAGTTTTGGCCACCCCTGGCCAAGTTACATTTTGCTGGTGTGAGGAAGTGAAAATAAATTAACACATCCTCTACAGAGACACACTTCTGTGCACTTTAATGCACAATTACTGTTTATTTGCTAAATTTAACATATTGGGGCCTGTGCAAAAGTTATGGCACATTTTTAAAACTATTTTAAGTCTTCATTTTTTTCTATGTTATGCTCTGCAAATACATAAATATTGTGCACTAAAATTTCCAAAATAGTATTTTTTTTATTTATTCTCTGTAAAGGATGTGTTAACATATTGTCACTTAGTCAACCAACATTACATGTAATTTAACTGGGGGTGTTCACTTTTGCATACAAGTGTAAGTGCACAGTCACTTCCATTTAATACTGTGGTTGAAATAGCCTATTGATAATGAGAATAAATGTATTGATGGTCAGTAGTAACAGCAAAGTAACCAAACTAATATTCCCAAAGTAAGGAAAGAGAATGAAGCTACAAATCACAAGGCAGTGTTATTAAGGCAGTGTCCTTAGCATCAGCGGCCTGCCTGATTGATATTAATAATGTAACAGAAGCATCAGGTCAAAGGCTGACTTGCGTAGGATTACCCTGTAAGTAAAAAGTCCACTTTTGGGGGAAAACGAGACCCTTCTAGTAGACCAGCTACACCCCTGTTATGCCGTGTAATGCAACTGCTCACTCCAGATCTCCTCCTGCCTCCCAGCTCTAGTGTCGTTACTAAGCTGTGCAACAACTTAATTATGACCTTAATTTGTCTTCATTTGATTTTTCTTCAGAATATCATGAGAATACCAAACTGTGAACCCAGTACTGTGAATCGAATCACATTGTGGGCTGAATGTGTTGTTACACTTCTTCAAAAAGAGGCTTCAGAATAGCTAGTACCACTGTTTTTAGTTATGTCTCCATTTTTATAGAGAACAGTATGTCATAGTGTGAGAAACCACATAGGCAAGTCTATTTAAGATTACTGTGGTTTGAGATAAGTGTGATCTAGGCATGCAGTTTGCACAGTGCTGATTGGTGTACATAGACTCATATGCAAGAACGTGTGCAGCCCTGGTCAAATGACCCGTTGATTGTCTAAAACTAAGCGAGCATATCCTCTACAGAGAACACACTTCTGAATTTTAATGTCCAGTTGCTGTTTATTTGCTGAATACAACATATTGGGAAAACAAATATGTGCTGTGGCATATATCATTACTTTTTAGCTGTATTACATTCACACGACAGGTAAAAGTGGCCCAAATCTGATTTTCTCACCAAATCAGGTTTGTTTTGTGTGGCTGTTCACAGTATCTTTTAAATGTGATCTGCATGCGACATCAGTCTGAACAGATCACACTCTTAACTGACCCACATGCGCAAAATAACAGGGCTTCACGTGGCTCATCTAGAGGTCAACGATCATAACAGCCAACGAACGCCAGTCTCTCCCAGAGGGTTCAGTTTCATCTTCGCTAGGATCACAGGATCGTGAAGCTTCACTGACTGACAGCTGGGCTCATCACCCAGAATGCGTTTGAGCTCGCAGAAAGGGCGCGGTCACTTCTTTGGTTCGCGTCCTCGGATTCTTTAAACTTTTGCTTTCAGACTTTTAACTGTTATTTGATGCTGCAGCCTCGTTCTCCTGCGGCCGCGTTCGGACATTTCTTTGGAAGTCTCTTCGAACACTGAGCGTTTCGGAGAAGTCTCTTCTAATTTTTGGTACAGAAACATCAGCCTAAATGCTTATGAGGTCTCAGCAGTGTGAAATGATGACGAATGTGGACCTGGATTGACGTAAAAGTCGCATGAATTCGTATCTGGCTGTTCAGACTGAGGCGCACTGCTGCAATGCTACTTATCAAATTTCAGTACCACATATGAAAGCGCCTCCAATCGGAATTGAAAATGTCAGATTCAGTGTGTTTTTTGCTGTTCGCACCGACACACAGACACACATCTGTGTCACATTTGAGGAAAAACATCGGATTTGGGCCACTTTTACCTGCTGTGTGAACGAAGCCTTAGTTCCAGGGCACAAGTAAAGAAGCAAACTTCAGACACCAGATATATTTTGGCTCTGACTACATATTGTGGGAGTTGAACTGTGTAAAAACTATTTATTTAAGACATCAGTGCTGTGGGAGGTGTCATAAACACAACAAAAAAACCTGCTATTTCTTCATTATACTTGCTTCCATTGAGAGTTTCATGCAGTTGGACAACCAGGAAAAGCATGAGCCCAGCCAAAAAAGTCCCTCATAAGTGCCCCCTACCTTCAACCAGCAATGATTAACTCCTAACACTTATTATAAGTACACAAGTTAGAGTGGAATCTGACTAATAAATGTTTTAAATTCCTGCATAAATAAATGATGATCATCCAGAGTGGTCAGAGTCAAAATGGTTGATGTCTGAAGCGTTTTATGATTCTTAAAACTATCTCCTGGGAAGTTAATAACAGGAAATGGCTAAAAACATGTAGCTTGATACTCCAAACATTGTTTTCCTATAGCTTTGAGCTCCCATCTCCACCACTGTAAAGAAACTGGAGTCTGCACGTTTCTCTGCAAGGCACCTTTTTACGTTAAACAGCGCTGAGTGATTGAATGTAAAGTTATAATTGATCAAATTCTTCGCTCTCACTTTATTTTCAGTGAAGTTCCCTGTAGTAGCTTATAGATTGTCTACAGATGTTCAAATTGGTAACAAACTATCTGTTGAAACTCAGTTGATTCTAAATATAATGGTGGGGTTAGGGTTGGGATTTGGGCCAGGCTTAGGGCTAGGACCAGGGTGAGGGTTGGGTTTAGGTTAGGGTTAGGGTTAGGGTTAGAGTAGGTTTAAGGAAAATTAGATGAGAGCAGATTTAAAGAAAATTGTGGTCGATTTATTAGATATTTAGTTCAATGTAACTTGAAAGTGAATTAAGTATCTACAAAGCATCTGAAGTGGACTGTCCAAATGAAGTGTCACTAATTCTTCTCCTTTTGTTGCAGTAATGATCATGAACATTGTGGAAATTCCTTAACTCTCCTTTACATTTGAAATTTTCAGGCTGGCCAGAATGATTTCAGATAACATCGTGTATTTTCTCCCTCGGAACGCTGATATGGAGCAGGTAAGACAACAAGACACTGGAGAAGTTTGATGTTAATCACGGAGGAAGGTGCTGCCGTAGTTTAGTAATGGTGTGTGAGGTTGTACAGTGGGCCGTCTGTTTTTGTGTTTGTGTATCTGTTCTTGAGAATACCGACACCTCGGCTTTATTTAGCCTTCTCAAATGTCTGTGCAAATGGCCTCGGGATGCTGCAGTTCTCTCAAATCACACACTGCCATCACCGCCATAAAAGGTGACCTATCTCATCTGTCACATGGAAATTTCATATGCCTGTCGATCGTAGACCAGATCACAATGAACGCTTTGAATGTCGCAAACACCTACACAGAATACGCTTATTCCTGCTGTGAGTTTCTCTCTTTGTGAGTTTCTCTGGGATGTGTGATGGAAATAACACGTGATTTAGCAGGAAAACCGTTGATTTTGACCACGATCTGAATAGAAGTGCATGGAAAGCAGTTCATTGTTCAGACCTGTTTTCTGTATTACTGTGTGATCCCCTTCCATTCATTTAACTTCCAATCAAAATGGCCATTATGTTATTCGTTTTTGGGAGATTTTAACAGAGATTAGATATAAGATAAGCCACTTGCTTAAGAAAGGCGAAGTCAAAGAACAACAAAGAGATTTCAAAACTTTTCTAAATTTAAAGATACAGAGAAAATGGGACTGCTAACAACCACCTGGAAGACCTGGTAGAAACCAAAACTGACCCCTCATCAGATAAACAGCACTTAAAGCTTTGATCTTTCACTTTCATCTTTGAGAGAGAGGAGAAAATCAAGCTGCTTCAGATCTGAAAACATCCACAGGTGTTTCTGTCCATCCTTCCGCTGTGAGAAGATAACTCAGCGCTGTGGGTCTGAAAGGATGTGTCGCTGTCAAGAAGAACCTCACTGAGAAAAGGAGACGGACACATCAAACAAAGAAGCTGAACGATGGACTGACCACCCCAGAGTCCAGACCTCAACATCACTGAATAGGTTTCAAGTCACAGAAAATGCAACCAACTTCTAAGACTGAACTTTGGAGGTGTGGAAAAATATCCCTGCAGATTTCGTTGAAAAACTAAAAGTGAGTCTCCTTAAAAGAGTGGCAGCTCTAATGAAGGTAAAAAGTGGACACACTAAATACTGAAAAAGGTGATACTATATTAAGTTGTTCATGCTTCTTTGTAGTTTTCTGTTAATTATGTTTTCTCCTTCTATCTTTTTTCCTTATGCTGAAAAATTAATAACTTGTACTGAATGGCTGTTTAGACTGGAATATGAACAAATGAAGGGTGGTCTCTGACTCTTGCACAGTACTGTATATCTGGAAATATGTCTTAAACCTTAAAGCTACATTCTACTTTTTTTTCAGCATCTTCCCTTTCTGCCACATCGATATCGCAGTTTTACTTACGCAGTTTTCACGAAGATTCTGACCTTCACCAGTGTGTTTTTGTTCTTAGGGCGGAACAGAATCTACACACACCCAAGAGCACAAAGGTGTGAACAACTCTGCGGCTTAAGAACACGTCGTGAATCTGACGTAGATTTTTTCTTAGGACCTTTCTCAAGAACTAATTTAAGAAAAAACTTGGGAAGATATTGGTGGATGAGGCCCAGTGGTCTTAAGACGTTTCATCCAGCCTTTCAACACTGTAGAAACATGGTAAATAAAAAAAAAAAAAAGTACTTTCACTTTTCCTAAGGCTTTCAGGTGCCTGTGACGATCAGGCCGAATTCTGTGAAAGCTTTGCTTAATTTAAATGCACCTTCACAAAGGAATTCATGAAAATGAACATTTTTCTGACAGAATTCAGCTTCTGCCCATTGGCTTCTATTATAAGTGCGTTTTGAGTAAACAGGTTGTCAGTTCTTTAATTACAACACAGAAAGATGTTGAGATTTTTATTTATTTATTTATTTTTTTTGTCTAGTATTTGGCTCTGGGCTACAAATGTAGTAGATGGACATTAGGTTTAGAAATGCTCGAGTATATCTTTAATCATTTTGGAACATTGTGCTGTGTTTTAGGCCACCGCTAAGAGCATGTAGCTTAAACTGAACCACAGAGAGCAGCTGCTTTCAGTAAAACCACAATACAGAGCAGAGGCAACAGAGATGTTTGCCCACAGCGCTGAAGGCTGGTCAAGGTTCCGTCTGCAATGAACCACTTTTGTGTTTCCTCTCAGTAAAAGGTATGAGAGCAAGCGTACCTTATAGAATTATTAATATTTACCGAAAACATGAACTAAAATCTGTTCGTTCCTCTCTGTAATCAGCTCTTTGGATCCTAAGAACGAATCTACGTCAGATTTACGACGTGTTCTTAAGCAAGCAAGTAAAGTTTATTTATATAGAGTTTTACTCCGCTTCACGCTGTGCCTAAGAACACCCTTCCCCATGATAAAATCGCAGTTACGCACTATTGCTTTAATAAGCATTAAAAATGAAAAGTAGAGAACACGCCAACTCTTCACATAAAAGGTGTCATTTGATGCATTTTTTTGGATTGTGGATCTTATTTTATTGTATTTTGTGGAACTATTGCCTTTTAGTTGGCCACAGATGGCTGTTTCCTTTTCTTACTTTTTCATTCACAGAATTGCAGTGTACACCAGTTTAGTCCAGTATGAATCTGCATTGTGTAGTTTTTAGTCAGACTAATAATTGAGGAGTGATTTTAATCCAGTATGAATCTACAGTGTGTAGTTTTACAGTCTGACAGTAATAATTGTGGAGCGATTTGTTTATATAGCGCTTTTTACAACAGGTGTTGTCACAAAGCAGCTTTACAAAACAAAAAAATCAGCATTACAGAAAGAAATCCGGGTCCGAGCCCCCATGAGCGTCGCAGGTGGCGACAGTGGCAAGGAAAAACTCCCTAAGAGAAACAGGAAGAAGCCTTGAGAGGAACCAAGACTCAGAAGGGGAACCCATCCTCCTCTGGTCGACACCGGATAGTGAACATTGTTAGTACAAAAACGGGAAAACAGGTGGAGCAAATGATTCATTTGACTAGTTTAGTTTATGCAGCAGCAGCAGAATCAGTGGGGTCAGGATGTGAGCTTAACCTTTGTGTGGTGTTCAGGTTTGAGGGACTCATTTACACTCTGTTCACCTCCTACATGGCCTGCTGTTAGTGTGTGTGTGTGTGTGTGTGTGTGTCTGTGTGTCTGTGTGTATGTGTTTGTACATGTGTGAGGGTGGACAACATGGACAGGCTGCTGACTGGCTACAGCTGCTAAAGGAGATATTAATATGACACAATTTCATTCCGAGTATTGAGAGCATTTGGACTCTTTCTGTTCATCCGTTTATCATGAAACATTCCGCCATCACATGGTTAATCGTCAAACTAAAACTTCTATTATAAAACGGAAATCTGATTGGCTGATCTGCATTTGAAGCCATTGTAAAATCCACAGTATATGCACGCCCATGATCGCCTCTCAACAACTGAATTGTTTATTACTACACCACAGCATGGAAAATCTTTATGCTGTGAATGGAATAATCTTTGACTCTCGTGCTTCTTGCAGGAACCACCGAGTATATTGATGAAGTAAGAACCCAATTTTGTTTAAACTGAGGGTCTGGCAGCTTACGTTCTTCACTAGAACTAAGCTAGTCAGCTAGCTAAGCCTAAACAACTCCATCATTAATATCACAGGCTTGAATTAAAGTACTTACGGTATGATTCACTGTAAAACGGCACTATAAAAGTCTAAAAATGTCACTTTAATTTTAACTTACACGCTTCAAATGTCAGTGTTTCGGTCAGTTGTACCATCAAGCCCAGCCTGAATCCCAAACGGCTCTGTACTCCCTAAAAAGTGGCTGTGAAAGTTTAGAAATTCTAGCCTTTACAGTCAAATTGTGCATAATTTATCGAGGATGTGGCAAGTGACCATGAAATGAGTCCCAAATAACTCTTTCTTAGTTATATTTTGCTCTGTTGGGCTGCAGGATCGAGTATTTAAATTCCTACGTAGTGCACTATGTAGGGAGCAGGGAGCCATTTGAGATTCAGCCTCAGAGTGGGAGGGGCGCTGCTGGATTGGTGCTAAATACAACTCGGTGGTAATTTGGTGACCAAAAAGTACCTATAAAGCAAAGGTTTTCACATTAAACAGTGTTATCATATTTTTATTCTTATAGGACAAAAAGTTTAAACGTTCATTAAATGACTGCAGTATACAACGATGGGTGACCGAACGTTCTTCTCCTCTTTCAGCAGTCCGTGGTTGCCTGGCAACTACACAGTACGCTAAAGGAACTACATTTCTTGGCGTTATACTTGTTTATGTCGATTATTATTAGCAATAAAAAGTCTGTATTTTATCATATTTTATGTTGGCCACCGTTATAAAATAAAATTGTTTTTTTTACCATTTTATATATTTTACACCATAATTATAAAAGCAATAAGCCATTTGAGGCTGTGCGATAGTGTGTTTTATCATGGGGAAGGGAGTTTTACTCCGCTTCACGCTGTGCCTAAGAACACCCTTCCCCATGATAAAATCGCAGTTACGCACTATTGCTTTAATAAACATTAAAAATAAAAAGTAGAGAACACGCCAACTCTTCACATAAAAGGTGTCATTTGATGCATTTTTTTGGATTGTGGAGCTTATTTTATTGTATTTTGTGGAACTATTGCCTTTTAGTTGGCCACAGATGGCTGTTTCCTTTTCTTACTTTTTCATTCACAGAATTGCAGTGTACACCAGTTTTAGTCCAGTATGAATCTGCAGTGTGTGTAGTTTTTACAGTCAGACTAATAATTGAGGAGTGATTTTAATCCAGTATGAATCTGCAGTGTGTATAGTTTTTACAGTCTGACAGTAATAACTGTGGAGTGATTTTAATCCAGTATGAATCTGCAGTGTGTGTAGTTTTTACAGTCTGACAGTAATAATTGTGGAGTGATTTTAATCCAGTATGAATCTGCAGTGTGTGTAGTTTTACAGTCTGACAGTAATAATTGTGGAGTGATTTTAATCCAGTATGAATCTGCAGTGTGTGTAGTTTTACAGTCTGACGGTAATAATTGTGGAGTGATTTTAATCCAGTATGAATCTGCAGTGTGTATAGTTTTTACAGTCTGACAGTAATAATTGAGGAGTGATTTTAATCCAGTATGAATCTGCAGTGTGTGTAGTTTTACAGTCTGACGGTAATAATTGTGGAGTGATTTTAATCCAGTATGAATCTGCAGTGTGTGTAGTTTTACAGTCTGACGGTAATAATTGTGGAGCGATTTTAATCCAGTATGAATCTGCAGTGTGTGTAGTTTTACAGTCTGACAGTAATAATTGTGGAGTGATTTTAATCCAGTATGAATCTGCAGTGTGTGTAGTTTTACAGTCTGACAGTAATAACTGTGGAGTGATTTTAATCCAGTATGAATCTGCAGTGTGTGTAGTTTTTACAGTCTGACAGTAATAACTGTGGAGTGATTTTAATCCAGTATGAATCTGCAGTGTGTGTAGTTTTACAGTCTGACAGTAATAATTGTGGAGTGATTTTAATCCAGTATGAATCTGCAGTGTGTAGTTTTTACAATCTGATTGTTTTTACAGTCTGAAATTGGGGGAAATGACAAAGTCTTAATTTCATACCAATCAGCCAGTCAAATCCCACTACATTACACATTATATAACCACTTGCAATTGAAATCCAGCTCCAATAGTGCTTTAGCAGTAGTGTAAGTAGTTTAAGTAAATCAATGTCTGCACAGTCTCTGATATCAGATGCTCTCTCCCTGTGTCTTCTTTTCTCTATAGATTGCGTCCCTCGCCGGTCCTGGTGGGAAAGTGGAGGTGGAGCAGAATTTTCTCAATAATAAGCTGAAAACCATAACTGCATACTTTGGCAGTTTGATTAAGGCTGATTCTTAGTTTTGTTTTGTTTTTTTAATGCTGTCTAAATTCTCCTGTATTGCACTGTACTGTACAGTCTCTCTGTGTATTTTATAGTGCTTGATTTTTTATAGTTGGTCATTTCGTAACACACAGTGTTTGTAAATGTTTTTGTTTGTTTGTTTATTAAAAGTTTATCATGAAATCTAATACGTGTGATGTTTACTCTTACAGTGGTCAGCCTGAAACTGCTGTTCCATTATAGGTCAGGTCACATGAACAGTGGAGCTGTAATCAGTCATTGATACTTAATTTTAGTGGTTGGCAAAAACATTTTAAAGGGGAATTCCACCAACTTCATAATTCTGCATAATTCAATAAATAAATAATGGAAATGTATGCATTATATGTAGATTACACATATATGTTTGATGGGTCTGAGTACATATACGTCTGATGTATTTAGCAATCTATCCTAGTGTAACTATTACTATTGTCACTATCTGTTTGCTTATGAATATTAAATGATTTAAATGTGTGAGAGATCAATATTTTAATTTATTTTATGTTTGAATGATTTTATCTCGTAGCTTACAACATTAGTTATTTGGCAACAAAGAAGGTGCTTAAAATCCTTAGATAACAAAGTTAGCATATATGGGTAATATACACCATCCATATATGAATGTTTTCTAAAATATATAGTCATATTTGTGTTATATATGTATTTGTTAATATATGGCTACAATATGTGTCTCATGTCTGAAAATGGCCCACTTTCAAAGTTGGCATATATGTCACATATATGTCTGTGTGTGACAAATATAAGTTGGACATACAAGGTAAATCCATATATGCTAATATATGTCATATATTTGAAAGCTATATGCATACGCCAGATTTCCATATGGGTGGGCACGAATACTCATCCTATTGTATTGGCAAGGCTTTTCTGTGGGAATTGTACATGCTGTGTTGATTATAAGGGGTGTCTGGATATTTCTGGACAAACAGTACCAGTATATTAGACACCTGCTGGTTTGCATTTTGTGTTATGACCTCTAAGTTTCAGCAATAGAAGGAACGCTTTTGATGCCCTTTGTGATGAGCCTATAAGCAGGATGATAGCGCTACATTTGATCCGGCCCATATGGAAATATAATGTATGGCAATGTTAAGATTTCAAATATATGACAGCATATATGGATATTCCTTATATCAAACTTACATTTCGCTGCTGTCAGAATAAAACCTCATGTCTCCAAAACAGTCACTTTACAGGAGAAGGAAAAAACATGCTTTACTTTTAATGTAAGTCAATGGAACCAGACTTTTTTCAAGTCATTTTGGGGCATTTTTTTGGTTCATTCATCATGAAATTTACACACAGTGTAAAGATCAACAGGTACTTTCAAACTATGTCAAAAACTGATAAACAATAAGAATGGAGATACAAGGTTTTGTTCCAACAGCACCGATATGTATGATCTATATATTGTAGTGTCTTGGCGAGGAAAGAGATACAGAGATACAAGAGGCCATGATTAATGGTTTAACAGGTGACCAATGGCCAAATCTAAATGGGATCTAATGGTGTTCTACAGGAAACTAGTGGTCCCCATTGGAAACCACAGTTAAACACTTTCCATTAGAAGGCAAAACCATCTACACTTTACTGCCAAAAGTATTCACTCACCCATCCAAATCATTGAATTCAGGTGTTCCGAACACTTCCATGGCCACAGGTGTATAAAACCAAGCACCTAGGCCTGCAGACTGCTTCTACAAACATTAGTGAAAGAACGGGTCGCTCTCAGGAGCTCAGTGGATTCCAGCGTGGTATAATGTCCATAGAGTCAACTGTCAGTGGTATTATAACGAAGTGGAAGTGATTGGGAACGACAGCAGCTCAGCCATGAAGTGGTCGGCCATGTAAAATGACAGAGCAGGGTCAGCGGATGCTGAGACGCATAGTGCACAGAGGTTGCCAACTTTCTGCAGAGTCAATCGCTACAGACCTCCAAACTTCATGTGGCCTTCAGATTAGCTCAAGAACAGCGTAGAGAGCTTCATGGAATGGGTTTCCTTGGCCGAGCAGCTGCATCCAAGCCTTACATCACCAAGCGCAATGCAAAGCGTCAAATGCAGTGGTGTAAAGCGCCGCCACTGGACTCTAGAGCAGTGGAGACGTGTTCTCTGGAGTGACGAATCACGCTTCTCCGTCTGGCAATCCGATGGACGAGTCTGGGTTTGGTGGTTGCCAGGAGAACGGTACTTGTCTGACTGCATTGTGCCGAGTGTAAAGTTTGGTGGAGGGGGGATTATGGTGTGGGGTTGTTTTTCAGAAGTTGGGCTCGGCCCCTTAGTTCCAGTGAGAGGAACTCTTACTGCTTCAGCAGACCAAGAGACTTTGGACAATTTCATGCTCCCAACTTTGTGGGAACAGTTTGGGGACGGCCCCTTCCTGTTCCAACATGACTGCGCACCAAGGTCCATAAAGACATGGATGAGCGAGTTTGGTGTGGAAGAACCTGACTGGCCTGCACAGAGTCCTGACCTCAACCCGATACAACACCTTTGGGATGAATTAGAGCGGATACTGTGAGCCAGGCCTTCTCATCCAACATCAGTGTCTGACCTCACGAATGCGCTTCTGGAAGAATGGTCAAAAATCCCCATAAACACAATCCTAAACCTGTGGAAAGCCTTCCCAGAAGAGTTGTTATAGCTGCAAAGGGTGGGCCGACATCATATTAAACCCTATGGATTAAGAATGGGATGTCACTCAAGTTCATATGTGTGTGAAGGCAGACGAGCGAATGCTTTTGGCAATATAGGTTACGTCCTCAACCACTTTCTCCTAGAGTGTTGGAGAAGTTACTGGGCTGAGAACGTTGGTCTTGAATGGAGATGCTTTCAATCAAATATGGACTCGCACTATATTTATTACTAGTAATTAACTAGTAACAAACTCATGGTAGACCCTTACAAACGAACTGAACTCACTCCCTGACTCTGAATAACACAACACCACATAACCACACTTTAAACCAAGGACAACAACATTAAAAACATCCAAAGATAGCTTCAGCTGAGGGGGGCGGGGCCCAGCTCTGCAGACCACGCCCTGCGGGCCAGAGCAAGTTGCCCCCGCCACAATATTAGGCATATGTATGATCCATATATTGTGCATACATGACCATTATTTGATATCTAAACACATGTACACAGCATATCTGTACATATAATGTACAATATATGCCTGACTCTTTGTGATATATGTCCATTCATGGCCATACATCAGATTTCTGTATGTAGAAGGATCCTTCTGGTGATATAACTGCTAACATATCTCTGTGAACTCTAATCCCTCCATCGTAAACTGTTGCTAATGTCAGTTTGAGTTTCTGTATGCAAATCCAGAGTGAGGAGCAGCAGGAAGTTGCAGCAGGTTCAGTTGGTTCCTCTTTCTGCCAGTCCAGCTCACTTCAATGAGCCGCGACGAGAGGAAAGCAGCAGCTCCCAAACTCAACAAACCCTCTTAAACTCTGCCGTTTAAATGCGTCAGGACTTTTAAACGACTTATTTCTTGACAGGTAAGTCGATTTTTTTACAGTTCTCTCTCTCTCTCTCTCTCTCTCTCTTTCCCTCTCTCTCTCTCTGTCTCTCTCTCTCAGTATCGGTATGTAGTTAGAATCTGTCCGTTTGTTTTTATGTGAGAAAGCTAGCAGAAGTTCTCAGTCATGAAATTCGATAAAAGGAGAGTAAAAAAATTCCCAGTACGAAATAGTACAAAACCTCACAGCTGAAAAATGGACAGTAAAGAAAGAGTAGAGTAGAAAAATCGCCGGAAAAAAAAAAAAACAGACACATTTCCAGTACGAAAACTAGAAGTTGAGAGTCGAAAAATCGCTAGTAAAGCAACAGAGTCGCCTCTTGTTCTGTTTTGGTTTGGTTACTTTTCCTATCAGAGAAGTTTGGCCAGTTCAGATTTGTCTTAACTCCCTGACAGTCCCTGTCTTTTCTCTTTTTTTAAGGTTTGAGTCAGATTTTGTACCTCAGCTGCGTTTCTTTTTGGCTAAAATACCTCAGGCGTGCACTGTATTCAGTCACTGCTGCTGTAGAAAAGGGTGCTGGTCTGCTACAGTGGTGTAGATTTTCAGCTTGGCCAGCTTGACCAGCATTGTAATGCTGGTGGAGGTTCATTCTAGCCTGAAAGATGGAGGTGGTAAAGGTGCTGTAAGTGTCACATTTCATGTCCAATCTTAGGAGAACCTGGAGGATGAGAAGCCACAGTCACTAACCTTTATCTCCTAATGTGACACTCCACTAAATTGCTGTTTTTCCTAGGGCTGTCAAGATGAAACTCGATTAAACTCTATTAAACTTGATTAAACGTGATTAAACTCAGTTGCTCAATGTGAGAAAACAACGATTAAAAGCTCTTCATGAATCGACAGTGATTAGTTGTCGATTTGCATATTTTTAAATTTAATTTTTTAATTGGTCTTTAGGAAACGGAGTCTAATGAACACACCCAGTTACATGCAGTCTCTCTTTTTTAAATAATTCATAGACCGGTTTACTCAATTACTAACATTATATATAGTGACAGCCCATATTTGATTTAATCTCCATTCAAGACCAAAGTTCTCAGCCCAGACTTCTCCAACACCCCAGAGGAAAGTGGCTGAGGACATAGAGATAAAGGTAGGAACTGAGAGTGACTTAAAGAACCTACTAAAAATAAAGGTGCCAAATGAGTTCTATGTGTGATGGCATAGAGAAGTAGTTCTCAGACCAATCAGGAGCCCCAAGACGGCCTTTCTGTAGCCCTGTATGTTGCAGGTTAGGGCAAAAAATGTGCCGTCTGTCGTTCCCAAGGATCAGTTTGAGAACCTTCCTCACAGAAGAACCACTTTTGGGTCTTTAAAGTATAACAAACCTCCACATCGATTTGTATGGAGAGTTTACATTACGCGAAAGGCGCTTTAAACTTTTAAAAAGTTCTTCACACTCGCAAATTTTCCAACATGCTGTTCTTCAAACAAAAGGTGGTTCTTTTAAGGCCTAGCTCAAAAAAAAACCCTTTCAAATCTGCTACCGAGGTGGAGCAACCGTGTATGTGAAATAAGACGTATAAAAGATGTGAAATTGGGGTTTAGATTTCGATACTCTGTGGTTTAGATTTTGGAGAAATGATTACATCTGTCTGGGTGATGAACTTCAGGTAGTAGCACATCTATATAAATGAAGTCTTCATTA